GCCAATCATTCAAAGGAAAATTGTTCCTAATTGTTCATTGACCTTGAATGAATGGTTGACAAATGTTTCTGTTATTTAACAAGATGGAGTGTAGTTTTTGGATATACCTATGTGATTTTTCCAGTCGTGTTTCTATTAAACAATTAGATTATGATCTCGAGATTTCTATCGCGTGATAGTTGACGAGGGCGTAGCCCGAGTCAACTATCGCGCGATAGAAATCGAGAGTGAATAATCTAATTGTTTTAGTATAAATCTACTAGTCGTTCAAAAATTTAATCTAAATCCTCTTCAAAAACACTTCAAAAACACGAAAAAGTGGCCCCTGGCACACGCTGCTACGCTACTCACTATCTATCACAGAATAGATAGTTACTAGCGTAGCCAATCACAGAACGCCATTCGTGATAGAACGCTAGTAGATTTATACTAAAACTCGATAGAAACACGGTACATGTTTTCTATTTCTTAAATAATAATAAGGAGGAGGATAATAAAAAAGTGATAACTTCCCACCTACATGTACCCCTCCCCTAACCCAATAGCAACAACACTACCTCATCACTGAAGGCAAAATGTTTAGGTAGGAGAGGGGTAGGTAGTTAGGTAGGTAGGAGTTTTGACACAAGCCTCCTTGTCGTATGCAAATCGCTCGGAAAAATATGAGTAAACATAAGCCAACATTAAAAAGCAGTAAACGGTTGTTTCAAAACTAGGTCAACTCCAGTCTCGCTTCCACCAACAACTGTAATTGGGTTAATCGCATTTAGAACTGAAATTCTTAGAGGTAAGAGATGTGAATATATAGAAGAAACCTGAAGCTTATCCCTATGAACGGAAGGTACCTTTGATATAACAGTATGGCCTGCTCGGCAGGGGTCGGGTCGGGGAGAAAAACCCTGCTTTCCCTCCCCTTGGACGCCTGCCACGCAGACCACATGGAATACCTAAGCCACACGCCTGGCGGCTTTCAGTGAAAACACTGTGGTACAAAGTAAAATAGTTGAGATCACAGGCAGCCCAGACCCTATGGGAGCCGTCAGAATTTGAATTTTATAAGAGAATGTATGAAAATATTCAAAATAGGTCGTTAATTATACTTTCTGAAAAGATTCAAAATACAAATGACTTTCCTTGTGTCTTTGTTGTGTATTTTACTGTCTGGTCGCATCTGGAGCCATTTTAAAGCCGTTTCGGCGAGTGTTAGGTTTCTAGCTGTAGTTTCAATAAGAAATATTTAAGGGAAGCTTCCTTTATTTCTTACTGCAAGTACAACTCAAAACCTATAGAGTCTGGGCTGCCTGTGTTGAGGTGTATCTTAAGTCCACTAATACCAGTCACAAAGATCAGCGGCTTATTTAAAACTTCAAAACGAAATAAAGAAGTAAACAACATAGTTCTTAATGTGCAAACGTAAACTTTTTAGGAAAGTCTTTCTAAGATTCTATATTTCTGAGTGAATCAAACTTTAAATTTGAAAAACCGCCCTTGCAAGCTTTAGATCTGCAAAACAAACACAAAACAACAAAGTTAAGCATCGTGTTCACATTTTTGAGCATATTTCATTTTTGATAGAACAAATGAAGTGTAGCCACTGGAAACTCAGAAAAAAAATTCGAGCCGGATTCTGGGGCTTGGATTTTTTTTCCGAGTTCCCAGTGGCTACACCTCATTTGTTCTATCATTTTCAAATTCGCTTATTTCATTTTTCTCTGTTTAAAGAGCCCTTTATGTCGCATCATTCAGAAAGGCCAGTGGAAGCCATAGACAGCTGTTTCGCCCTTATAAGTGCTCATCGGCATAGCATAGCCTCAACTGCCGAGGCGAGTGCAAAAGCACTGCTTTAAGCGCCAGCTTCACCGTAGCCATGTGGTAGCTTTTGGTTGGGAACTGCAAAACAGTTATCAGCAAGCGTCAGATGGAGATGGAATCACTACAGACCTGAGAAGCACACTACCATCCCCGTGGTATGGCCAGTACCGTACGCATGCGCACAACGGTGGCATCCCCGTGGTATGGGTATGGTATGTGTGCCTCAGTGCCGTTAAGAGTGTTGTTAACAAATGTTTGTATCACGTGAATGAGTAGCTGCAAAGGTCCCGTTTGTCCATTTAGTGCGTTGAATAACTTTTCAAATCTGAATCCTTTGATTTAAACCAACTTACTTGTGTGACTGCATGCCAAATGTAAAAGTTCTTCCTGTTTTTTTTGGTTCAGAAGCCTCCTTTAATGTGTTTTAAATTACAAATAACTTTGAAGGTTACTTTAATTACTGAAAGCCTGTGTTCCAAGAGAAAACTGGCCGAAAGCATTCTACATTCCACCGTACCATTCCAGCAAATGTCAGTGAAGTAATATTTCCAATTCAGATCACTTGATGCTCTCGAGGGAATTCCAAAAATCATGCACACGAGTGCACGTGAATAAGGCGATACTTAAAACGCGGCGGCCATAGTGTCGAAATAAAAGCAAATGGCGAAGAGAGAAGGAAAGCCAAAATAAAACTAAAAATATCATACATGAGGATCGTTACAATATAAGAGTTCAAAACTATATGACTGGTAATTACAAAGACAATAGATAACAGACGCTACTACGGTCTAAAAAATAACGACTGAGACTATAGAAACGTGATAAGAGTAGAAATGTAACAAACATGAAATTGATATGTAACAGACTCCATGCTGAAGTAACAGCAAATAACAAAGGAAACTAAAAACGGCTTTGTTTTTGCGTTGTTAGAAACACTGGAGAGCGAGGCTAACAACGCAAAAGCAAGCTTGTTTTGGTCTCCAGGGACAATATGGCCACCGCGTGATAAAGGTCTACTCTCTAGAGTAACGGTAACGTGGTTTGAAATGAGAAAACAAAATGTACAAGCTAAAGCCTGGTTTTCACGTCTGTCGCAGATTCTCCCGAAAATATGAATTTGGTGGGAAATGTAAATTGCGCCAAAATTGAAACTTGCAAATAAATGTAAAAGTGAGCCAAAAATGGAAACTTGCAAACATAAGTAACATTAACATATGGCCATTTTCATTTCTGTTTGTCAGGAGGAGGCTGGAGCCAAGTAATGTAACAAGCTAAACCTATGTCCGATGTCCCCGACATTGCAGATTTGAGTTTTCATATGTCGAGAATGATCGACCGGCATCGTAGAAATCTGGGACGCGTCGGGGAAATAGAAACACTCCCGATTTTCCCGATTTGTCGCCGACCATGCCAGACTATCGGGGATGTCTATGATTTCCAGTTTTCATAAGTCGGAAAAATCTGGGACGGTCGGAAAACAGTGAAATCCCCGATCGTCTGGGATTTTCCCGACATATGAAAACCAGGCTTTTTTTAAGAGGTGTATTACACTCAGACGCCTGCACATGTAAGGGGCTATGTCACGCCATTTTAGCATCTTTTTAAAATCCCAAGTATGTATTGCCGTCAACTGAATTCCAAAAATAATTGTCTAGGTTTGTTATTTAAGACTGTATTATGACGTTGAATCTGTTTCCTGTCTTTTGTTGCTACGGATGGGAAGGATGGAAATAGATTGGAACTTGAAATAGTTGGGCAAACGTTTTCGAGTTTTCATGCTATTCAAAGTCAATTTGAATTGGCAATAAATGCCCTGGGGATGAATTAATGATATGCAAATATTCATATAAAAGGCAAACACGTGCTCCTCATTGTGCACTCTACTCTAGTCCGCTGCAGCGAACAGTTGGCGCTTTGCTTTACATTCAAACCCGTCTTCCTCGTGTTTCTGGTTTAACATGGCAGAAGCGGAACAGGCTCCTCGTCCTCCTCCAGTTCTTGCGGAGATCCCCGCTCGAGTTCAAGCTTTAGATAATCCTTTGCCGAGAGCTCCGGAGGCAGAACTAGTTCAAGCGGACCAAGCAGCTCCAGCAAATGAGTTAGCACAGTCCGTTGGGGTATTAGTTCTTCTCTACTTATTCGTTTCAGGCAGTAGTTATGTCCGTTGTTCTGTGCGCTTGTTTTTCATTTTGGTTCGTTCGGGGTAGTTTGCCTTCGTCGCCTTCCTGTAGTTCTGGGCGCGCTTTGGTTTGCCGGGTCGGACGTGCATTTCGTCAGTTTTTGTTTTCTTTTTTTCAGCATGTAGTTGGTCTTATTTAAGCTGTTTTGGGGTTTTTATTTCGGTTCTTTCGTTCTTTTCACAGTGTTGGGTTTTCTAGTTTATTTCTTACTCATGTTTACGTTTATGAGCGTCTTGGTTAGGCTTCAGACTTATTATTATGCATTGTATTGCGGGTTGTTGTTATTTTAGTTTTATCTATCGTGTGTATTCTTATGTTTTTTGCATTGTTTGAGTTTTGGTTTGCCTGTAGAGCACGGAAAAAAAATAGAGAGAAGGAAATTTGCCTTAGGCTGTAGACCATGTCTGTGTTGGCAAAAAATAATAATACCAATGAAAGAAGGAAGAAAGAGGAGGAGAGAAAGTGTAGATAATTTGCCTGTGAGGCAAGAAAAGAAAGTGACATCACATGATTTGCCTGTGGTGCAAAGGGTAAAAAGTAAGAGCACGTGACTCGCCCGTGGGGCAAGGAGAGAAAGTGAAAGCAGATTATTTGCCTGTGCGGCAAAGCAATAAAGTGACAGCACATAATTTGCCTGTGGGGCAATTAGAGAAAGTGTGAACAAGTGATTTGCCGGTAAGGCAAAGAGAGAAAGTCAAAGCAGAATATTTGCCTGTGAGGCAAAGAAAGAGAGTCACAGCACATGATTTGCCTGTGGGGCAAGGAGAGAAAGTGAGAACAAATGATTTGCCTGTGGGGCAAAAGAGAGAAAGTGAAAGCTGATTATTTGCCTGAGAGGTTAAGAATGAAAATGAGAACGCATGATTTGCTCGTGGAGCAAAGAGAGAAAGTTGCAGGTGAGGCTGTTGAAAATTTCTCAGCTGTGAAAAAAAGGAAGAGAGTGAGTAAATAGAGTTGTTTTTAGGTTTTGTCGCCGGCGAACAAGAGAAAAAAAAAAGATGATATGACATGCCTGCAGAGCAGAGATGGAAAGTTGTTGCTGTGGGTGTGGCCAAAGGTTAAATTTTGAAAATTGACATGAGCTTAGTTGTTGTATGCAGTATGTTCCAGCAGAATTATTGACTATACGCTTAGGTGATTTATGGCGGTGAGGTACAACCGTTTTTATTTTCGCCTTCTTTTTTACTCTACTTGTAGGAGGTTCAAGGTATTAATGAAGTCCTGGAAAGGATTAAGAAACTAGAAGAGTTTCAGAAGGCCTCTGTAGATTCAACTTTGAGGGAGTTAAGGCTCTTGATCAAGGCACCTGTGTTTAGTAAAGACCAGGCCTTAGATTATTTGCTTAACATCAGGATCGTAGCTAAAGAGTCAAACCACCCCAAAGCAGGCTTTTACGAGGCGGTTCTTAGAGCCATGAGAGAGAAGTCCAGAGTACCGGATGATCAGTTTAAAAGATACCTTGAAGTGCTTTTGGGCGATAAAGACCACGAGAAAGTTCTGGAGATGATGTCGAAAGTGGATAAGTCGATAAGGTCTTCTGTTTCCATGCCTGCTCGTTTTCCTTGGAGGGGTCGTGGTGGTCGCACGCCTCGTCAGGCTCAGTGTTTTCATTGCCATCAGTTTGGGCATTACCAGAGTGCCTGCCCTATGCGTCGCCCAGACCCTGGAGGGTTCTTCGAACCCCTACTAAGAAGGGGAGATTCCTTTCTGGAAATCCAGATCAATCGAAGTAGTAAAGTCAAGTCGTTAGAACAGTTGTTCACACTCTTGATTACTTCATATGCCATTGTGTTTTTCTTTCTTGAGTTGAATTAAAGGTGCTGTTATGTCGTTTGTGTTTGCAATGTTTTCTTTTTATGTCACGGCCAAGTTTCTAATTCGTTCATTTTAGTTTTTTTTTCTCTTCGGGCGTTTCCTAGATTAGGGCGAGTAACTCTCATGGACTTACCGTATATCTCGGTAGCACGTGGACGTACTGATCTCAGGCGTGTGAAGTTACTCCCTCCTGATCGGTAACCTCATTACTCATCTCCCGTTCCTGTTTTTGTTCCTTTAGCGTCCTCCTGTTAAAAAGGCACGTTTTGGAGAATGCAACAGTGGCTGTTTCGAGGATTTTCCATCTCAGCTTGTTGCTACGTAACCAACGGATGTTCAAACGTGGGTGGATGTAAATGGGGTTCCCGATCAGGGGGGCGAGCTACACAGGGTGCCTTGGAAGGATATCTTTTTATCAAAGAATGCTCCTGATTTGCAATGTTTGCGTCTACGAGACCTTGGGAAATTTATTGCTGGCGGACTTCATGGAAACCCTGAGGCTTGAGAAGTTGTTAAAGATCACCCGTCCGCAGAAATGATTCTTGATTGGATCAAGAATAAAATAGACATAACACATTTTTGCCAATATTTTAAAGGCGCTTTCAAAGGGCCCAGTTATGACTCTGATTTTCCTCCACCGAAACAGTTTCGTAACCATGCTTCTTGCTCGAAATTTACGCGTTTTGTTTCGGAAGAGATTTTAAAGCGTGACGACCGAAGCCATCAGAGTATGGGGAAAAGTTGGGGTTGATTCCCCTCAGTACTTGGTTTTACCGCTCACCGTGGAACCTTCGAAGTCAAGACTGTGCTTAGATGCTAGATTTTTGAATTTGTGGGTGAAGGACATGCCATTTTCACTTGACAAGTTGGCGGATGTTTCCAGGTATATTTATAAAGGTTCCTTCATGACTAAGTGTGATGATAAGTCCGGGTATGATCATGTCTTGCTCTCATCAAGTTCTCAGACCTATGTCGGTTTCGAGTTCGGAGGATTTTGGTTCGTGTGTGCGACGCTCCCTTTTGGATAGAAGATTTCTCCATGCATTTACCACACTATAGGGCTCGCGGCGTCTGGGTATCTGAGAGCACAAGGTGTTCCTTGTTCTCTCTATATCGATGATAGACTAAACGGCGAAATTTTAACGTCTACGCGTCCTTGGTCGGTACTTCCTGCGTATAGACAGCCTGAATATAGATTTAAAGCGGCGCTGGCGGCCATTTTCTGTGTCCTGTCAGTCTTGGTGGATCTCGGCTACACCATTGGCATTAGTAAATCTGTGTTATTTCCGACTACTGTAGTGGAGTACTTGGGTCTTTTGGCGGATTCGACGAAGCAGTCATTTCTTGTTCCCAAAAGGAAGATTGGATCCTGGGCTGCTTTGCGGGAGCAAATTTTGGCTTGTAAAAAGTATGTAAACATCAAGACACTGCAAAGATTTCAAGGGAAATGTATATCGTTTTCGCTGGCAGTCCCTAGGGCGAAATTATTCATAAGGGTCATTAGTTCTGCCATTGCGCATGCTTCAGCAAGTGGTCAAGGAGGGCTTTCGCCTTGTTTACGAGAAGAACTTTCTTATTGGCGGTTTTTGGACTCATGGGAGGGTTGGTGGAACTTCTGGCCACTCTTTTGACTTGATGGCTTTAGACTCTAATGCTGTAATTGGACGGTCTGGTAGTTTACTTCCACATTTTACTCCTTTTCCGAGTTCGGATTTTCGGGGCGTCAACTTATTTTCTCAGAATTTACTGGAGACAGAGGACATGTCTAATCCGTATGTTTTTCCGCCGTTTGGTTTGGTGGGTCCGGTTTTAGAGTTTTTTTACAGTTTCCAAATTCCGCTCACCATTGTTGTTCCAGAGCTTTGTCCGTATCCGTATTGGTGGCCTTAGCTAATAGCTCGCTCTTCAGCTAGAGTTTGTCTTGGCTCACAGAGTACTATGGGAGTTATTTTGGCCCCCTCTAAAGTAGGCTACAGTCCTGCCAAGTGCATGTTTCCCCTTTGGGCGTGTAGAGTATCTCGTTTTTGACTTGAGTGCGCAACTGCAGTTGACAATGATGTATCCTTTTTATTCTTTCAGCGTTTACCTCGAGTTCCTAAACTGTTTACTCCCTCGGTGGCTTGTCCTAAATGTTCCTACGCCAACGATGAGTTGTTTCGGTTTTGTCAACAGTGTGGCTACGTACGGAAGGATGTCCAAGAACATGGAACTGGAGGGCCATCTAAAAAACTTGAAGTTGATAAGAGCAAAATTTCTGAACGTTTGGCTCAGTTGTCTCAACATCGAGGATCATTGCGTTATGTGAAACAGAAGACTGCGCTCGGGTGTGAGTTTGTGAATTTTTTGTCCCATCTTGCAACCCCCAAAATGCTTGCTTCAGCCTTGCCAGAGGATGTGACAGCGTTCTTAGTATGGAAAGATCGTGGGGGTAAAAGGCGCGTTCATCTTCCGGAATGTCTACACCTTTTTAGTCAAAATGCTAGTACGAGTTTTTGTGGATGTCCCAAGAGACTGGCCTTTGGTACGGTTGATGCTTTAATAGGAAAACTGCGGGCAATTTTTGCTGAACATGGCAGAGGTACGGAATGGCAGTCGATTTTGAACTTTGGCAATCCGGCGGCGGATCGCTCGGTTAAAAGATACTTGGTAGATGTACGGGAGGAGCAGCTGAAAGCAAGAGTGGTTCCACGCCAAGCCGATCCTATTTTCCAGGGTGATTTGGTGATCCTAGCCCGTCATATTCATTTCAAAATGTTACATTGTGCGACGTTAACTCCGAGTCAGATCTATATTTTCGCGAGAGATCAGGCGATGTTTAAAGTCCTATTTTTTGCTGGAGATCGTGCCGCAGATTAACTTTTATCCAAGACAAGAGACATTTTACGTTTTCCTGATGATTCAGGATTCCTGTTTAATCATTTATGGACGAAAACATTAAGATCGGGTGACTCAAACGTGTTCGCCCTTAAGAGAGGTTCCAATCTGTCCTGTTAGAGGACTTGAGTTGTATTTTGATGTTTGTAAATCTTTAACCATTAAACTCTGTCCGGGTTTTTTGTTCCGTTCTGTAACTAAATCTGGAAATATTTCACCTAAGCATGTGGATTCCGAAGCAGCCCAGGCTAGATTAAGTGTATATACTACTTCACTGGGCGACCAATTATCTGGTGACCGTTATACCCTTCACGGTTTTCGTAGTGGGGCGGCGGTTTCTTTAGCTTTGTCAGGGGTGAGTTTGCGTGAGATCATGGACCATGTTGGATGGAAGAATAGTTCGACAGCCTTGCATTACATCAAATTAAGACAGGCGGTAAATCCGGCAGGTGCGGCTGCAAAGTTGGCAGATCTGAATGTCGAAATTGGAAAGACATATATGAGTCTTAATAATTTGAAGGGTTTTTCTCAGGCTTTTCGCGAGTAGGTTTTTGGAATGAATGAGGATTGGGAAGAGAGTTAAATTAAAGAGATGATTAAAGAGAGTTGTGTTGCATTATTGACTGTGTAGTATTTTGAGTATGGCACTGGGATTGGGGAAAGCCAGAGCGATTCCCCATACCTTATCTACATGTCATGAATAACAATATCCAGGGCAGAATATTACACTATTCAAAGTCAATTTGAATTGGTAATAAATGCCCTGGGGATGAATTAATGATATGCAAATATTCATATAAAAGGCAAACACGTGCTCCTCATTGTGCACTCTACTCTAGTCCGCGGAAGCGAACAGTTGGCGCCCCACCCGCCCTCCCTACGAGGAAGCCGGGTTTGAAGTCTGGGCCACCTACCGGATATCTTCTGAGCCTGGTTTGGGCTTGTCCCAGGCCAGAGCGATTCCCCATACCTTATCTACATGTCATGAATAACAATACCCAGGACAGAATATCACACTATCTTAACCGAAAAAATATAAAAAAAAAACTTTATTATGGGTTGCTCTTTTTCATACAATTTATTAGGTATCCAGCTCACAGTTTATCAGGAACATTTTGAGCATAAGTAAAACTACTAAGTAACGATTTTAGGGAAGAATTGACCCAAAACAAGTAAATCGTCGTGACGTAGCCCCATTAAAGAGTATTACTTTCCGCGGAAGCGGTGCCTCAACGTACTTGTTAACGAAACAAGTACGTTGAGGCACGGTAATCGTGGAAAGCAGCTTGTAATTTAAGTTTACGTTTAAAGTAGGCTATTGTGTAGTCTGTAAATCAGTCTTATCTATTGCAAGCATATTGACATATATTTCGTTTTTAATATTTATAGCTGATAAATTGTCCGTGGATAAATAAAGACGATCTATCTCTCGCTCCTTCCCTCCCTCCTTCTGTTCGTCCGTCCACCCATCCATCCATCCGTCCATCCATCTATCCGTAAAGGCCTATCGTATTTAACTACATTGAATTCCACGAAACAGTTGAATAAGATTTCCCTGGTTGAATTATTAAACCCAAAACATACAAGAACGCAGTTATTATCCATATGCATCTTTGGATTGATCTTCTGGTGTGCAGAGTTTGCCAATGAAGTATCTTCAGTGCCTCTGATCCTGACGAATATGGTGGTACGTCAAGGACAAGTCTCGCTGCCTTAATTTGGAGGGTCTGCAGCGAGTCCATGAGGACTTTGTTGTTCTTATCTCCCCATACTAAACATGCATATTCCATAATAGGAAGCACCATAGTGTTAACATAAACTATTCTAATGTCCATAGGTAATAGATGTTTTATACGTTTCAGAATACCGAGTCGCTGAGTTACTTTACTTCGGATGTTTTCAATATGTTCACTCCATGTCATGTTTTCATTCACAATGACTCCTAGATACTTGAAAGATTTGACTCTTTCAAAGTACTTGCAGTTGACAGAGAGTTGAATATTTTCTATCTTCTTCAATTGGCCCGGTGTCCCAATCAGTATGAATTTAGATTTCTCAACATTAAGTGTAGTTTATTTTCATTTAACCATGTCGCAATACTTCCCAGATCAGTATTCAATTTATTTTGGAGATCACTTGCACAATTAGAAGAATAGGAAATAGCCATGTCATCAGCAAACATTGTCATTGTTGTATGTCTAGTTACCTCGTGAATGCCATTAATGTATACCAAAAACAGCAAAGGCCCAAGGATGGACCCTTGCGGGACACCAATGGATACTTTAGCGGAACAAGACATCTCATTGCCACAGACTGTCCTCTGCATCCTACCTCTGAAATAAGAATTAAACCATTGAAGAGTTGTTCCAAATACATCTAGAAATTTCAGTTTCTTAATCAAGATGTCATGGTTCACTGTGTCAAAAGCCTTCTTCATATCCAAAAATACTACTCCTGTCGTTTGTCCTTTATCCATTTTATCAAGAAGGGTGTCAGTAAAGTTAATTAATGCTGATGCTGTCGAGAGCTTGTGACGAAAACCATACTGTGCATTTGTCAGTAAATTGTTTCCCTCTAAATAGCCATAAAGCTGAGTGTGGGCAGCTTTTTCAATGATTTTACTTATTGTTGGTAATATGGATATTGGTCTGTAATTATCCTTAGAAGACTGGTCACCACCTTTGAACAAAGCTGTGACTTTTGCTGATTTCCATGTTGCAGGAAAACATCCTTCTTCAAATGATTTATTTATAAGTAAAGTCAAGGAGTGTGAAATGACTTCAGCAGCATCTTTCAGCAAGCGTGCACTTATTTTATCTAGACCACATGCTTTGTTTGTTTTCAAGTTTTTGAGGATTTCTTTGACAAATCTCTCATTAACGGCACGAAATTTAAAACTATGAGTGTTATTAGAGACATTCATGCCATCTCGAAATTGATTGTCAAATGCCTTTGACAATAGCTTTCCTATGGACGAGAAAAAGTCATTGAAAATTTCGGCAATTGTTTTGTTGTCTTTGCACAATTCACCATTATTAATAAAGCATAGATGTTTGAGGCTTTGTTTCCAGGAAGAACAGACTTAATGGTCCGCCACATTTTTGAACTGTCATTTTTGCTTCACTGATTAATTGACAATAATAGTCGGACTTTAATTTGCGTTCTTCAGAGTTTGCTTTGTTACGTAATTTTCGATAGATGCTCCAGTGATACTTGTTATTTCCATTAATAGCCTTTTTATGATGATAATCTCGATCCTTTCGTAAATCGATTAAGTCTTGATTAATCCATGGATTTTTGAAACCTTTCACACGCTTGAACATGATTGGGGCGTGTAAATCTGCTATTCTCGAGAAAAGACGTTCCCGTAGGAATACACAATCATCGATTTCACTAACACTGTCTACAATAGACCATGGAACTTGTTTTAAGTCATTAACAAAAGCATCTTTGTTGTAGGATTTATAACTTCGAAATTCGAATGACTTTGGTGGAGCGTTTGTTACGCCGCTTTTCATTACGCAGAAGACTGTACAATGATCACTGAGTGAAGTGTGCAATACTCCCGATTGGACTACTCGGTGTTCAAAATTAACAAATATTAGACCAATCGTTGTTCTTGAGTACTCAGAAATTCTTGTTGAGTCTTGAATGATTTGTTTAAGATCGTATTCAAGGGCAAAGTCTTTCAAGGCTCGAGAGGAAGAATTTCTTTTTGATTTACATGATACAAAGCAACCACTGCTCCAAACAATACATAGGTGAAACCAAACGACTCAAGGACCGTTTCAACGAACACCGCCATCTAATATCTTTACCCACCACAGTCTTAGAACACTTTCTTGCTAATGATCACTCAGAGACAGTGTACGAAAAGCTGGAGAAGCATACCTCGAATTCCAGTAAATCAAGCTCCTCAACTTTTCAGTTTCATTTTCCTTTGCAAGCATGCGCAAGATTAACTAGTTTTAGAAAATGATGTAATGTCATCTGAATAAAAAAGGAACAGCAAGACAGAGAAGTCATTTACAAAGCACACTGTCATCCTTCAAGAAGTACCGAATGTGAATGGTGAGTATCTGACATTTTGAATTAATTCATGTCGTCGAATTTATTTGTCACTGACTCTCTACTCTCTGAAAATGATTTCCTTTCACTTCATCTCTGTCATCTTTTTACAGTATAACTATAGTGATACCGTCGCAAACGATATCAGACGATGAACTCCGGCGACAAGTAAAACAATTCAAGTTAACTGAATTTCAATTTCGCTTTCCTGCGCGTACAAGTAAGGTCAAGTAAGTAAAACCCATTTATATTTTATGGAATGGTATAACATGATATGTATCTGTTGCTATCGAACGTTGCTGTGAGATTTGTTACGCCACCCCACCCCCTTGCCCCATTAATTCAATGGGTAATTTCCGAGCCGTTTCACCAACTTCTTTTTCCTACCTAGCCTAAAAGCAAAGTTTCTGTGATGGTTATTAGTTTAACTTAGCATGTGAATAAAAACTACTTTTCATTTTAAAAAAACTTCGCACTTGAAGTCGCTTTGAAAAGGAGGCTGGTGTGAACTGCCAGTTTTCCCGGAACTGCCGTGACAACGAAAATACACTAGAAATAGCCTAAAAGGGTACCCGCAACCTAATCGCTGAATAAAATCTGGCCATTTGAAGGGTTTATTCTTGGTTTGCACGTCACGCAATAAGAAGATAACATAGCTTAGATTTCAAGACAAAAGTCCAAGAAATGGCGGGCTTGCGCGGTCTTTGTCTGAAGAGAGCCTGCCTGTGAAGTCATCTGCTGTGAACTGCCCCAACACTTTTGACCAGGATTGTAGAAGTGCTTTAAAAACAATTTTGTGATTTATGCGAGTTCGCGCTCGAGAAGTACATGTCATGGATTATTACTGTCCTTTTATATGGTTTCATGAGGTCATGTTTTAAACATAACAAGAATGAGACCGTGAAAAAACAAGT